TTTTGAAGTTTATTCCTGTCATATCCATCTGACTCTAATAATATTATATATCTACATTAATCTGTTGATGAGTTGTGTAATGTTTTAGAAATTTTTAAAGAATACTAGATATAATATGTATATAATTATATTTATAGATGTCTGAATTATTATTTAAAAGATTTAAACAGTAACATTGTTATATTGCGATAAATATATGGATATCATAACATAAAAAAAATTGAGGCTATTTTAGAAAAAAATATGTTCTATGTCATTTTACCAGGGTGCTCGGGTAAAATAACATACACATGTTTGAATAGGCAACCATATTATAGAAAAAAGATAAATTTCTTCTTTTTTTTTAAATTAGTTTTATAATTTCAACTATGTATGTATCGATTATAATAAATTAACACCAATATATTGTCATATAGTTTAACAACATTTATTAGTAAATAACAAAGCTTAAAAAAAGTATACCATTGTTATATATAATTTTACCCGAGGTAGTACAAGTTTTATTTAACTTTTTGAATGCAAAATACTAGTATTACTGTATTAGGCTTATTTCAAACAGAACTTATTTTTAATGCAAATTAAAGTATAGAATCGTAAGATGACAAAAATACTCAGGTTGATAAAAATAACAATGTATATCACACAAGATTTTTTTTTAAGTTACAAGCATTGAGCTAACAATTATAATAAATAATTGAGGGTTTTAAGTCATGTAATTAAAGAGTCCTTGTATTTTAAATATCAGTGTTCCTTATCGAAACATCAAAGTTTCATATTGCCCTAATATGTCATAGGTATTAAGTCAATATCTCCAGAATAGGTGATAAACTTATACGTCTATAAGTAATATCCATATCTAATACTTTATTTGTAGTTTTGCCAGTTTTGGGTATCAGACTTTCAATTATATAAACATAGATACAAGGTTAACCCGACGCATTATATTCATTAAGTACTGAACTATTCAATAAAATATGATGAAAATATTTTCTAATTAATTTTTTTTACGATCACTTAAAAACGTAAAGACGTCCTTTAAACACTATAATAAACAGGGCTTATGTACCGAATTGGTTTTTCAATGCGATGATTTATCATTACTATCAAATGTTTAGTGGCAACAGAACACGGTTGCATGCGCTTAGGTCCTAGACGTATATATATATATATATATATATATATATATATACACACACATAAAAATAGAACATATTATTCAGAAGCGACACACGTCTTGATAACGGATATCTCGAGGTTTGGCGTTGAAATTTTAACCCTCGGATATTCGCTCGAGTTGTCGTGAACGAGTATTTGGAAAATAAATTATATTTCCTTTTTATTTTACGGCATTTACACCTTTACCTTTTTCCTTGGAATAAACATGAGGTGCGTTTTTGAGGTCGACTTGGCAATTCGTTTTACAATTTAACAAAATTCAAAGCTTGAAAATATTGCTATTGAAAACTGATAATGACATAATAATTATAACCATATATTCTACGAGTCAATCTGCGGTGCAACTACTTATAGCCAATTTTATTGAATAATTAAATAATATTTAAAGGTACAGTGGTTGGTAAACTAAACGAGTCCAATATCCAGTCAAATTATCTTGCCTAGACATAATGTTTCTGTAAATATATAATGTCAGATTATTGAAAATAAATTGATAACAAATTATAAGTACTTTTAATTAATGAATAATTTAAGAACACTTTGATTTTTAAAATTAAATATTTATATTTTAAATAATAATCGTACTTTTTTTAATAAAAAAAAACCTTTTCATTGTAAATTGGCTTTTTTTCGAGACAGCTATTTCTTAAATGTTTAATATCGTGACTTACAAAGTAAAAAGTAATGGTTCAGTTTATTTTAATTCATTATAACGGTGGATTTTCTTTTGGTAATTTAAACCATAAATTACTAAAATAATATAATTTGTTAATTTTATTACTGAATTTAAATTGAGTTTTCATAATATTTTTTTTATCAAGTAACGTAATTATACTCACTTTAAGGTTTATTATCAGAGAAAAAGGATTAGGCTTTCTGAAAACTTATATTGTTTTGTTCGGTATAATTTTTGTTTCCACAGTTTGTGTGATATTCATCTCTCCGTAACGAATATAATTTTTATATCGCTGTATTATATTTTATTAAATATCAAAAAATGAAAGTTTTGGTTTTTAAAACTATTCAAATAAAGTCAATAACTATTTCATTACCTAACAGTAATAAGAATAAAACAACCACCATATTATAAACAATGCTTTATGATTATGGATTTTTGATATTATTATTCGTCTATATTATTATTGGATAATCGAAAAAAGGAGAAACGTGTAGTATGAAGGTATGAACTATGATTTCAAAAAAGTTAGTGAAATATGAACTCTAATAGTATACAACTGTTATAAATTTATAATAGGCTGGCCTATACATCATATATTTCATATATTCTATTTTTTGTTCATTATTATTTAGTCAATCTGATGTATGTATTATAACTATCATTATTTTGTCAATGATAATTTAAAACGTATAAAATATTTAATAATAGATTTTATTATTGTACATAAATTTTGAAACAAACTTTACACTTTAAATATTGAAACTCTTAAGATATGTAAATATACAAACACACTACATTTATTTATTAAGATCTCCTAACATCTTTGCAAAACAAACTAGATGCATACCTATATTAATTATACTATAGTTTGGTAAGGTATGCTTACGCTGTTATGAATATTTCACTTTAAAGCAATTCAAATTATGAAGAAAAATTGAACCACGTACACATGTATAGGTACATGCCTAAAGATTATTTTTATTGCAATTAATTAGTAGTTATTGTAAATTTTATAACAATGTATTGATGTACTTCAGAAATGTATTTTCAACCCTTGTATTGATTTAAATTTTCAATAATTAGTATTAAATTTAACCATTTGACAGATATCCCAAACACACAAACATAGCTAATGAGTAACTATTGAAAAGAGAATTTATTACCTACAAATTACCGAAGAATTCATCACCGACAGAGGTCAAGCTTTTTGAAATATAACAATAATATGAAATTATGAACGATATAATATGGTTTAATAAGGAATTGAGCACATCTTTTATTTTACCAAGTAGGTAATGTGTTATACTGTTATAGTAGAGAACTGTTTTTGAACTTGATATTTGTAAAAGGGCACGTCATGTTTGGATCAAAGTCTGTCACTACATGTCCATGTTTGTATAATCGTTTAATATTAATCGGTATAGCTGCTGATATTGGGATCAAGTTACGTCTTGTGCGCTACTTATACGAATGGTAACAAGTTAATATTTATTTTGTTTGATAAACTGCTACAGAACATTGAATATTGAACTAACTTTATTACTTGTAAATTCAAAAACTACACTTGAGATAATATGTAATTGATTGAGAACAATTGATCGAATTTCTATATTGTGCATGTGTTGAAACGTTATTGAATTTCCGATATTATATTGTACTAACAGTATCGCATTTATATTATGCACCTTGTATAGAATCTATAAATACGATTTAACGTTGTTGTACATGCAGTTTGATATACCTACTAAAAAACATTTATTTACGATATTCATCAGAGTTAACCCTTGGTGAGGAGGTGGGTACCAAATAGATAAGAGAAAGGGCTTTCGTAGATTGTTTCAAATTTGATATGTAGGTACGTGATCAGTGTAACTTTTAGTTTTTACCTTTCCTATTTTAAACGCACATCAGTATCATGTACGTAAAAGTTTAGGAGTCTAAACATTTTACTCGAAAATAAAAGTTGTTCTTCTGTGTTTACACCACTTTCGTACTAGATTCAAGTGCACTTTATGTCATAATTACGTTGATGTGTACTCGTTCCTATCTAATATATAGAGTGCGAATTCTTATACACTAAAAAGTTTCAAAATATGCAATACAATATGCAGTTAAAATAGTGAAAAATGAAAATAACCAACAAGTATGCAAGAAAAAAAATTTAAATTAGATAATATGGTAAAAAATTTATAATTTAGTATTATTTAAATGAATAATGACTTAGTGCTCACAAAATATGTAACTAAATGTTATGCTTGGCAAAATATTACACTATAATTTTTTTAATTTTTACTTCAATATGCGATAATCAATATATATGATAATACTCCCAAAAATGTGAAAAGGAAATATATGCAATTACTTATAAAAATCCGAGATCTACTAATAAATTATGATGTCACATTATCACTAAGTGTATCATGTATTAATTCAAGATGATGGCATTAATTTTTTATTTAAAATATATAACTATATTAATCTGAGGCGTATAATCATCTGCAACAAAAAAATAATAACGTTTATATCATACGAAAAATTATGGCATATGATAATAATTTAATATATATAAGACTGCCATGAATTGCAATAGTATATAATACATTATATATAAAAACAACTGATCATATTTTATTTTATTTTACCAATGTTATATCAAATGATAAGGGTTGATAAAAGGTTTTCGAGTAGGTGTTTACGAAATGAAAAAAGAAACTTGTATATTACATTTAGGTAAATATCGGTATTTGGTAAACATGTGAATACAATGTACTCATACAAGTAATTAATACAATACTTACAAGAAAGTGCAGGTGTTCAAAAAAATAACTATGAAAATGAACTAACATGCATTTTGACGATTGCATTAATCGAAAAGAAATAATATTTTCCATCAGTTAGCAAAACACGAATAGTAACGAACATTAAACACGATCTAAACCATTACACCAAAAAAAGTTGAGGTTTTTATAATATTATGTAGGTAGATTTATCTACTTATGTAGGTTAGCTCCTTTAAACGAGTTATAATAGTGTCAAGTTGGTAAATAATATTGTTTTGCTAAATTACAAAAAATTCTTGAGAGCACTTGTGCAAACTTACGGGTTGTGTTTAATAATCTGGCGCTAACCGAAAACATTAGCAAATGACACGTATTTAATTCCAAATACTTTGCGACTAGTAGGGAACCCATCGACACGTAGCTATCCTACTTTGATAATCGTTTTTTTTAAATTTCAAAGCCAAAAATGTTGTTCTCGTACTTTTTGGCGTCCGCGTTGACCATATCCGCTGCCCTCGGACGTTCGTCCGGCCCAGAACCGAGATATGTAATGTACGAAACAGAAGACAGTTCCATAGGGAAATCAGAGGAAACGGCGCAGATCATGGACGTCAACGATAGATCGTCCAACCTGAAATATGTAATGGCCATCCAGAGCTCGAGTATTTGGGAGGAGATCAAGAAACGGTCGTTGACTTTACACAGACCACAGAAGTTGGACGGCACCGTCGACGAAAATTCGCCGGACGACCTGACCGACCAAGAACTGGCGCAGCTCAAGCAAGCTTGTCACGATGGACTCAAGTGCGTGGCCGTCGACCAGCTTATTGTGCTCGAACAGGTCAAAGAACCGCTTGTCGGTGGCAAAGTGTCTGTGCGCACGGCCATCACCAAGATCACCCAGGTGCTCACCCAGTACACGACCGAATACCACGAGGACGTTTACCAGTACGAGGCGGTCAGTGAGTCCGACGATGAATCCAAAGTGTACAACTCGGTGACTACCATAGTGGAAGACAACAAAGAACTTTGTCGAATCGACTTCACACCCCCAACAGAAGAAAACAACCCGAAAGACGTTGACGGTAAATCCGTCCCCGTAGCCGCCGACAACCCCAGAACCATAAACTACAATACCATTAATAACTACAACATCAACAACGGTACGCTCAACAGTGTCACCATCAACACCAAACCAGATTTAGATGTCGCCATTGGCGTACAGACCCAGATCGAATCCGAAAATGGTTCTTCGGACCACCACGACGACAATGCCGACCACCAATCCATGCCACCCGCTACAGTCAACAGTACACCTGCCATCGGTAATGAATCGGATATCAAAGCTCCCAAAAACGACGTTCAAGACAAACCGACCAGCGTTGATCACCCTGAGTACGCGAGGTCTACAAGCGAGTCTAAACCCATGGGCCAACCACTCATGATCACCGACGGACCATCACCGCTTGGAGGTTCTGCCGCCACTGCCACCGCCGACACCGGTACTGACAACAGCGGCCGAGGACAAAAATCTCAACGGTCACGTCCCAACGCTACCGCCCGGACCAACAGTGCCAACACCGACGAGCCTGCCGCCAACAACGAAATAATCTTAAAGCGAGGAAACGGAGCCCATGCCTCCGACCACGCCGAGAAGACAACTAATGATAGTGCTAATAACAATACCATAAAAATGGATAACAGTTCTGCAGGCGGCAATGCTGGTGGGGAAAACGACTCTGACAGTGATATCGTTAGCGCAGGTTCTCACAACGCAAATATCTCGAGAAAAGGCATGGTCGAAGACGGCATTTTAAACAATGGTAACATGAAAGCCAAAACCTTTGACACGAGTAACCGCAACAAAGGTACAATCAAAGGCGGTAACGCTGATAGAGGTATCGTCAGCATCGGAACCACCAACAACGGCCCTACTAATTACGGTAAAGTCAACAGCAACACCAACAACGGAAACACCCCGGACATGAACAATACCGACATCCTTCGATATGTGGATAACATCGATAAAATGTATTCCACAATATTAAACGAGTTTGCCAAAAATTAATTAATTATTTCCTTCAAGTTTACGTAGTTACATTATTATTTTATCAACTATTTTATTGTAATCATCAATTCTAACTGTATTATACTTTGTTATTATGCATAAGATTGTTTATTTTATTTTATTTATATTGGTTGTGGATATCTTGTGGGATTTTGTTTGAGTTAATAAACGATTTATCTTAGTATTTAATTTTTGTTATACTTTAACATAGTTTTACTACATACAAATCATTTTTTTGGTCTCAATTCCACGTTTCATAAAAAGTGAAATAATGTTTTTAAATATTTTTATTATAAAAATTGATAATCTACTTATATTAAATGTGTTAATTTATGAAAACTTAACGTGGGTAAATCTCTATAAATAAATGTGTGTTCAAATAAAATTGAAATCTATATTACAAAATATAATTTTTCTAAATATTCAAATAACCATACCCAGCCATTTTTATTATGGTGTATTATTTGTAAGCAAAATGAACACATATTATAGGTACGGTGTTAATTTTTTTTTACACCATACTCAAAACAAAATAAAATAAAGAAAAATAGTAATTGTTAAGCATACAATGTCTAAATTCAGTGTAGTTGTTTTAACAAAACTAAATTTATTAATTTATTTTGTGTAAATTTCTGATACTTATAATAATTCCCATACAGTAGTTAATTGTCATGTATCAAAATAATTATAAAAAATAACTATAAATGCAAAAAATGAAAATCTATTAGGCTTGAAATATAAATAAAACCATTATTTGATATTTATACAAACTTGAGGTCTTTAATTAATTTTTTTCTATCTGATTGCAACAAAGAAATACTTAATAAATACTATGCATATAGAAAAAGTATCATTCTAAAAAAAAATTTAAGATTTGACCTGAACTCACAAGTTTTGAAACTTACAGCCATGAAAATATAAGCTATACTTGGCACCTTCTTATACAATTTTGAGTTTCTGACTGGTGAGAACCAATTACTATATTATAGAGTTTAAAATAATCAACATCTGGTGAGTAATATTGGTCATATAATATTTTCAAGTTTTTTGATAGTTTTTAGAATATTATAGACTTCACATTATAATACATTTGAAAATTTGAAGTAATTTATAAAACAACTATGTAGGTATGGAAAAAAATTGTTTGACATAATTTAGCATAACATAATATACCTATTCTAAATTAAAAATAATTGTTTGGATCGATTATTTAAAAAAAAACTAGGTGTTTAATAAAAATAAAAATTGAATTTCATGTCTTCAACTCTTCAATAATTATAAATGTACTACAAATCCACGGTAATAGATATATTATAAAGTCTTTTATTATATTAATATTGTACATTTTACTAACGTTGATTTTAGTTCCCTTTTCTCAATTCCTGTAATTGTTTCAAGTCACGAATAATGAAAAAATATTTGTTTGGTAGGTCTCTAGAACAATTGTGCAAACGTACGGCACATGTGAATGAATCATGCACAACACTTTGAAAAATGCTAGTGAATACTTGCAAATTATTTTAATACATTTCTCACCTTCCTATCGGTAGGAAACCAACAACGTAATAATATATATACGTATCTTATCTAACCATGATTAAGCTAACGGTGAAAATGATTTTCACGTTCGTGTTGGCGTCGGCGTTGGCCATGTCCTCAGTGCTCTGCCGGTCGTCTGGCCCGCCATCGAGATATGTAACGTACGAAACAGAAGACAGTTCCATAGGAAAATCAGAGGAAACGGCGCAGATCATGGACGTCAACGATAGATCGTCCAACCTGAAATATGTAATGGCCATCCAGAGCACAAGTATTTGGGAGGAGATCAAGAAACGGTCGATGACGTTATACGGGCCACAGAAGTTGGACGGCACCATCTACGAAAATTCACCGGACGACCTGACCGACCAAGAACTGGCGCAGCTCAAGCAAGCTTGTCACGATGGACTCAAGTGCGTGGCCGTCGACCAGCTTATTGTGCTCGAACAGGTCAAAGAACCGCTTGTCGGTGGCAAAGTGTCGGTGCGCACGGCCATCACCAAGATCATCCAGGTGCTCACCCAGTTCACGACCGAATACCACGAGGACGTTTACCAGTACGAGACGGTCAGCGAGTCTGACGATGAGTCCAAAGTGTACGAGTTGGTGACCACCATAGTGGAAGACAACAAAGAACTTTGTCGTATCGACTTCACACCCCCGACAGAGGAAAACAACCCGAACGGTAAATCCGTCCCCGTAGCCGATAATAACAACGATACCATAAACTACAATACCGTTAATGACTACAACATCAACTACGGTACCATCAACAGTGCCTCCATCGAAATGGAACCTTCTGACACTATCTCTGTCGTCGAATCGCCGGATTCCGAAAATCAGAGTAACAACAGCCCAGATCAAAATCTGGTAATCGTTATCGCCCCACAACCTGAAACCGCCGATGGTGACGGTAGTTCTAAAAACCTGTCTCCAGATGATCATCTACCCACGGAACGTACCGCCACCACCAGTACCACCACCGATGGTCTGACGGGTGACGAATCCGTTACCAGAGCTCCCGAAAATGATGTTAGGCCCAAAGAAGTCAGACAAAACTACACAAGGGGCAGCGGAACCTCCGATCAGCACTATGAACCCGTCACGACCACTGACGACAACAACACGAATGCCAATCATCACGACTCTGGCCACTCGGACCATTTGGAAAACAACGACGTAAGCCTGAAAAACCGAGGCGGAAACGGTCAGACTGGTGAGACCGATAGCCAACAAAACATCGTGAGCGCGGGTTCGTCCAATCACGGGAACGTGAAAAGTGGTTACGTGGAGGACGGTACCCTCAACAACGGTAACATGGTACAGTACAACATCAACAGAGGTATCATCAACAAGGGCACTATCACCGATAGCAAAGCGGCCATCATAAGCGTGGGCACGCTCAACAACGGACCGGTCAACTACGGTACGTCCGACAATAACACCAACAACGGAAATCAGGTAGTGATGAACGTCAAAGACATTCAACAATTTCTGTCAAATATCGACAAGATGTACTCGACGATCATAGAACGCCTTGGCTGACTTAATCGTCAGTTATCTGAAGACTCAGTATCGTCGTATATAAATATATAATTTTTATTCATTATTAAAGCAGTATTTTTTATGATTTACCAATTAGATGAACACGAGTTACGTGGGTTGTTTGGTTGATTTTCACTTTTCCATTTATTGCATATTTTATTTATACCACGTCACTACAGTGTTTCGTGATATTGTAGATGGTTACCATCGTCACTATTTTATAATTTTTATCATTATTTTATTTTACCAAATGAAGTCCTTGGTATAAACAAAGAATAGATGAAAAATACATTTTAATATATTGTATTGTTATTTATTTACTTTATTATACATTCTGTAATTATAACATAGCTTAATAAGTATTAATATTATTTTATAGTGCTGTACTTATATCGATAAATGAATTAATAAACAAATAAAAAAATCGGTGACTAACATTATGTTTTCATTAAGATCAATAATTTTTTTGTTCAAGTTGTGAGTGTACATTTATTATTGTTATCATAAGTAGTTAATAATTGTTCGTTATACTGTTATAACATATGTTATCAACACTAAATTACAGAAAACACTAGAAAATTCCATGTCATAATATATTTTTCTTAACCGTAATTCAAATGGTCAATATCTAGTTTGTTAACAAGAATACAAGGTATTATGTAGTCTTCGCTTATCGAAATTTCAGAATACCTACATAATGTTGCTTAAAATAAAAGGTACCTACGACGTCTTAATGTCTAAACATCTATGAGGTATAATTATAATGTAGGTACTTAGATGACGTGATTTATACATTCTACTATGTAGGAAATATCAGAGATACCATTACAATAAATTATTTGGTTGTTATGATGTTTCTTATATTCAATGAAAAACGTAAAAAATTGAATAAAATATTTTTAAAAATCTAATGATATAATGTAGGTATTTTACAACTGAGTTATTATGAAGTATATTTGTGATTGTGTCTGTTGGGTTATATTATAGAATTTTCCGATATATTGTATGTATTATTATGGCATGTTTGATGATTGGTCGAGATATACACAGCTGATTACTATATAGTTGTATTCGTTGAGAGTTTTCGGTAAGCATTTTAAAAAGGTAAATGATTTGTACATATTAAAATGCTCATAACTCGCTTTAAAATTAAAATATATAAAAAAACTTATAACATTCACTAGATAATATTCTTACTTAGAAATTTGGTAATAGGTTAATTTACTCTAAGATGTTATGTAACTGAGTTAAATGAATTATTCAGAATGTAGGTACTATTTGCTATGTATGTGTTTGTAAGACAGAAACTTGCTATTCGATTTGTGGTGCGAGTGTACCTTCCACTGGTTACTGTCTTATCAATAAAGCTATAACGGAGAAAAATGTATTTGTTGAATCGTGTCTGGCGTATTTTCCAGTGTTTATAGTAGTATTTAGTTGAAAAATATATATTTTTTTAAAATTGATTCTTTTAACATGACAAATTTGATAATATTATACACTTGTCATTATTTTCAAAATAAATGATTTCATAAAATATCTATTAAACCTAGTGCATCATCTATATCAAATATTAATGAAAAAAAAAACCAAAGTATTCAATCACACACTAATGACGTGTTATTAATATTCAGGATTAAGTATATTTTGAACGTTATATCTACGGTTAAAAAAATTAATTACAACTCTATGGCTAAGTTAAAATATGACACTAGTGGTCAACAGCCAAGTATCTGTGTAATATCATCTCAGTACTTTTTCACTTATTTCTTATCATTCTTTTACATACATTAGCAGTGAATTTAGTTGTGCATACAACAAAGCATCAATGATCCCATTATGGCAGCTGAATATATTTTTCTAAATATTATTCTTAATGGCCATTCACAACAAAAAGTTACTAGAATTTTAATGATTCCTAGCTTCTTATAAGCAATAAAAATATTGTACATTAGTGTTTTAAAGAGGTACATAATTTAAGAATTGTATTTATCAGGCAAAAACATATTTACGAATGAGTGTAAGCTGTGTAGACAGCTTTAATTGCTTTAATGGTAAACATCTGTTGTGTATAATAGTAGGTAGGTAAATTGAATAATATTTGATAGATTTTTAGTGAATACGTTTTAATGCTTAAATAAAATTTATAATATTTTCAAAACGTATTTTATATGCCTAGTTAGGGGTTAAAAGTAATATTTTCTATAGATATAATCACAAGTTATAAAAGTATTTTCTAGAAACCTATATTTTAATATTAAAATATGGTATGGGTACAATGCATTATATTATTATTTAACATTATTATAAACGTTGTCTTCTTAAATTATCTGTGCACGTATAGGTACTTACTTTATCCACTGGCTTAAATTGTACTGGAAATGTGTTTATTAAAATATTAAATCATATCATATTATTACATCATAATGTAAATTGTAATACTATTTATACAACATAAAATGTCGTGTTTTGATGATAACTTTTTGTTTCAGATGGTTTTAAAATTGTACGCATATTGATATTTTATACGAGTATACGACTATACCACCAGTATATTACAATATTAAAACTCGTTATTAATTTGATACGCAATATGAGGTAGCTATTAAATATGAAATATTTGTTGTGGTTATAATAATATTATATGTTTTTATCAACTATTTGATGTAAGATAATAATATTCAATACATTTTATTATTTACCTGTAGGTAATTAATATATTTAAATAAAAATGTATTTCGAATGTAATAAATATTTTTAGATTTGATTAATAAATATAAATATCAAATTACAAAAATGAAAAATATCAATTTTATTAACATGATTTAATTGTATAATGTTATAACTAAAGCAACTAAATCAATATGGTATTTTTCACTTTTAATCATACCATGCAAAATTAAATTTGTATTAATTTATTTAAGAGATATTTTTAAGTTTACTAACTAAAAAAAAGTTTATAAATATGTTTTATATAAAACTATTTTTTAGTTTTTACTATCCTATAAGTTTATTAATTAATTGTAATTATATTAAAAAAGAAGAAAACTGTTTGAAGTACCTAGTTTTAATTAAATTTAATAATAATATAGTAGTTACTAGTTACTTATCAAATGCCGTGCTTCTGCGTTGTAATGTTTATCAGATGAAATAATATTATTTGTTGCTTTGTTGTTTACTACGCTTATTATAGTATACAATATTAAACATGTCTAATTAATAATTATATAATTACAAAGCTTCTCGTTTTCGGCTTTACTATTTAAATAAAAATCATAAATTATTTTAAAAGCTTAAACAAATTCTAATTTCTTTTCATTAATTGTTATTATTATTTAATAGCTATTTTTCCATAATAATTATTCTACCTTCATAGTTTACAATAGTTATTAAAAATGTAAATGATATAAGTTTAAGAAATATTTCACTAATCAGATTTTTAAGTCACGTCAAATTAAATATGTATTTTTTTTTTTTTGTAATGGTACCATTTACGTACACCACAAATTATATTATAATACACTGCAATGAACAAGTCCAGCTCCGACTTTCTATAAGCACAGGTAGTGTCGTATATAAGTTGTACTATTTGGGTGGTAAAAAGTCGAATTCTTGAATGTCATTCGACATTCTGTAGCACTAGAGATCTCTTGACATGTGAATAACGAGTTTTTTTTTTGTCCGGGTCATAAGGGTTCGTGCATTTTCCCAATGCTAATCATTCGTTTTCGTTTGTGTGGAGACCGTCGAGACCGTACTCTGGACGCGCTTGTGTCCGGGAATATTCCAATACGATCCCACGGGTGCTCGGAATTATTGAACAAATAAAAAGTTCTACTTTTTTTTATTTTTTACATACGAATCGACCTCCGGGAAAAGTGAAAATATTTTGATGGGACGATACAGAGTAAGAAACACCAGAAGATAAAACCTTGAATTCAGTGAAAAGAAAATAACCGATTTCATAAAAGTTATTTTTTTTTAACTCACGACTATATAATATATATATATAATGTGTGTGTGTGCGCGCGAAGGAAAAATCGATTCAGGTTTTCACTTATTTCCGATTGCTCTATGCATAAACTATACTGGGACGTACGCGTTTGTAATAGCTATACGAAAAATTACGCACACGTCATATGCAATATTATTATTTAGGTTATTATAGATAAACGTGTTCGCATAAAATATTCAAAGTCGGTAAATTTATTTCAAACACACATTTTGAATAATCTTTAAAAGTTTTGCCGGGTATTGCTTTGGAACGTTGGTATAGCAATTTACTTTTTGCAAAATAATTTGAAATATTGCCCATTGTTTGCATTATTAGTTTCATATTATTATGATTGCCACGAGTTTTAAACAAATATATAGCCTTAGGTATACATTATTACACCGAGTATGGAATATTTACCGTAGAAACTTTAAAGCCATGTTTACTGCGCGTTATATTATGTTTTTATGTGTTAAAAAAATAATAATTCAATGAAACATCGACAACTTATATTTGAGGGCCAAATAGTTTGTTTCGTCCAATGACATATAACAATTATAAATATTATCATTTTATAATATCATAATATTATAGGACTCCGGACTTCTATAATATGCATACATTTCGGATAAGCTAAAATAAATGACAACTATTTTATATCGAATGGTTTAGATGCACTTTATAAAAATTCGATAAATGTTGTAAAATCCTATAAATTATAATTTATTTATTTATTTATCGTCATACAAAATTGTATGATGTATGTGATTTATAACAAAATATAGTTTAGGTACATTATTAGCAAATATAGTGTATAAGAGGAAAAAAACATAAAACAGAATACATCGAATGATGTTGAACTAAAGTACCTAGTTAGGTAGCCAAAAAATAAAAATAAATTATAATTAAGTTGGCAAAGCATTTTATATGACGTACCTATTCCGTCGTATGAGTGTGTACGGATCGCAACGGTGTTGTGCGAGGTGGTCATACCAGTCCAAGCGCGGTGTGATATTGAATTTTGATGTAAAAACACAACACTAACACGATCTGTTAACGGTTTTTTTATTTATATTATATTAGGTATATAGATTTATGTGATTTACTGTGACAACGAAAGTGTGTTTTTTCAGTAAAAATAAAAACAAATGTAAAAAAATGAACTATATATAATAAAGTAACAGTATGACGAAAAATTAGTGTGGAGTAGTCGTACGAGACATGATCGGTACCATGTCACTAAACAAAGAAAGAGGCTTTTGTCACTGGACCGTATATCCAGCCTTACTGGTCCTCTTCCCCTTCTCGCCAAAGTTTGGGTAAGTAGGGATAGTCGACCACGTCTCCGAGTTTATGCCCTGTAGGACGTGGTTGGAAAGAGCGACCATTGCATACAGTAAATAGCAGTGCTTGTTCTATGTATTTTCGACTGC